AATCCTACTAAAATCAAGACAAATCACCTCACAGCACGTTTACCCATCGACACGAAACATGCCCTACAGTTTTCCTTCACAAAATACAGATTCCATAGACAGACACCGTTCACTACCTTGGACTGACATTTGACCGAAAGATGACATGGAGCCCGTATATCACGAAGAAAATAAAAAAAACACTCAACCACGGATTAAGACTTTTAAATTAACACTCAAAAGTAAATTAATAAAGAAATCGATTATATACAATTATTTACGAAAACCTATATGGACTTAGGCATCACAGCAGGGGTGATCAACCTCCCTCTCCCCCAATAAAATGCTTCCTCTGCCTAGAAATTTTAGTGTTCTCCTTTTCTTAAATGCAGTGCGAAAGTAGAATTAGAAAACTCGTAGATCGTATACAATTACACTCGCTTTGGTCTGGTCCATGTTGTTTCCATTGTTCACTGGTTTGAAACTTTCACTTCAAATATTCATAACCCCGCCGAAATGTGCCTCTCTCATTAAAAAATTCAAAACCCCGTAAAAATGTGCCACCTTAAAAAATAAATTAAACCCCTTTCTGGGCACCCATGCTAAAAGGATTCCATACTTTAAATCTTTCAAGCAAAAACATTCAGGACTGACCTTCATATGTCTACTGTTAACGAACCAATTACAAACGATTCCATGGAAAATTTACAGGGACATCCTAACATACATCCCAGGTAACGTCCGTAGAAGACTGAAGAGGAGATGGATGAGAAACCTTATGTAGATATCACGACAGGAAGAGGTGCAGCTGGGTACTCCTCCCCCTCATGGCTTCCATGCCATTACATTTTGCAACTACCATCTCATTAACTGATTGACATTACTATTTTTGACAGGCGTGAATAAAAAAATTGCAAGTTAAAAAAAATAGTTTTGAAAAATAAATAAACCTGGGTTACTCTTATGAGAATGAATACCTTATTCTTTAAAGATTATAAGATCGAATGCAATTAGTATGAGTTGTTTACCGACGCACACAATGTAAGTGATATATGAGGGCAAGACAAACTTTTAAAAATCTCTCTTCGGTCCTTAAAAATTAAAAATCCATATCCAAGATAACACAGCAATGTATCTACTTTTTTTTTAAATTGTGTATGGATAGAACATTTACCCAAACCGTATTCGAAACTAACCACCTCCTAAATATTTTAAAATATTAAGAGATTAACTTCGTCGGATCTGATTTCTATGGAAGAGTGTTATAGTGGAATGTATCGTGTCATAATATTAAAAGACAGATTAGTAGGCATGGTGTGAAAGTGGTATCGTGTGAAAATGGTACATTAAATCTCGCCTACTATAAATTAAGTTCTAGTCCAAATCCAAAAATTCTTTTTGCAATATTTAACAACGAGTTTTCTTTGTCAAATGATACCTATTCTTGCTTTCTAGCATTTATAGAAACGGAGCAAACGGCGTTAAAAAATGACTAAAAATTTGTCTATTCTAATACCATAGATGGAGGAACGCAATTCTTCGTTGAAAGGAGACAAAAAATTATAATGTTGTCATTGAAGAGGAGATGGATGAAGGACCTCCTCACCTTATGTAGATATCACGACAGGAAAAGGTGCCGCTGGGTACTCCTCCTCCTCATGGCTTCCATGTCATTGCATTTTGCAACTACCATCTCATTCACTGATTTTTATTACTATTTTTGACCGGCGTGAATAAAAAAATTGCAAGTTAAAAAAATAGTTTTGATAAATAAATAAACCTGGGTCCCCTCTTATAAATATAGAGAATGAATACCTTGTCATTGAAAGATATGAAACAAACCCTCGAGTCCCCCAAATGTCAGTAAAATCTAAATTATTGCTTATTGCTTGTCCATGCATTAATTGCCTGGCTTTGAGGTCAAAGGTGATTTTTTTTTTTTACGAAGATGTATATATAGTGAATTTTGGGCAAATTTTGTTATGAATTTCATTGTACTTATACTAAATTTTTGTAAACTAATCATAATTGATAATTTCACAATTTTGTGCAAGCTGAAATATAGATTTTATTCAAACAGAAATAGACAGCAAACAACTTTATCTTCAAAAAAATAGTATTTGATCACATTTATCTCTGACGATATCTAGTTCGCCGGAAGGGATAAATTGTGTTAGTTTTATCAATGCCATTTCCTAAACCTATTTAGATATCGTACGGTATTTTATTCGAATCAATTTTAGACATTTTTAGAGCGGACACTGTGTAGGTTACGGGTTAACCTATTACTGTCTTGAAATTGTATTTCCTAGGTTTTCCATTTTTTTATCGCAGTTATTTTAGGAAAACAAGTCTTATTTTAGAGGTTTGGGTGAGACCATGTTTTAAACTGTTTTTTTCTCCCTTCAACATTTTCTGACGACGTTGGAATAGAATAGAATAAAACATAAATTTTATTTTGGAATAAATTCTTACAAATACCTAACATCGTTAGAATAAAAAAAAAGTGTATAAATATACTAAAATATTATAAATAAATATGTATAAATAACAAAATATTTTGAATACAATACTGGCCAAAATCAACAAAACCAAATTCTAATCAGTATATACATAATGAAAAAGTTTATATATAAAAGCAACAAAATAAATAGAAATGAAAAGGACAAAATAAAATGATCAAAATAATAATAAATAAATAAATGAAAAAGGAAGAAAGAAAAAAAAAAAAAAGGCTAGAGATTATACACATTGAAACTATTATTCATTGCAAATTAATTTTTTTCCTAAATCAAAATTTCAAGATTAAAGAGCATCCGTTTGGTATGTAAGAAGGTGATGGAAAAGGATGGTTTTGAATGAGAACAAGGCGTATATTGGATGATAAGGAATTCCAGAAAGCGGTGGGTTGGGCAAGAAAGGAACTTTCAAAGGTTTTGGTCCTTCAAAGATTTTTTGGAGAAAAATCATTCATTTATATCAATTTTTAAAAAAATATTTTAATGGCTCAATATTTTATTTTTATTACTGTTACATTGTTTTGTTACTAATCATATTTTTATGGCATATTTACTGTATATTATCATACTTTTGAGATGAATTATGCCATAATTGAATGTTTTTTTTTTTTGTATATAAATCCGAGCCTTGATCATAATCCTTTAGAAATTCTCCCTTGAGAGCAATGCTGACTTCATCTTTAACATATTCTTTACCAGGGACACCTAGATAGATAAGACTATTTCCCTTAGACAATCTTCTCTCTTTCCACCCTTTTCAATTCAGATATACCAAGTCTGTTTTGTCTTTTTGTAAATTCCTCCTTCTAGATTCACTCTTGTGAATGTCCTAAACTTTAAGACCTTAACATTTATGGACTTCGGTTGGTCAATCTAGTGGAGAGATCAATTAAAGTTCATTATTGGCTCTGAAATCTTAGAACAGCGAATTCATATATCAATTTACATTTACGTATTGTATTTTTAATAAATGAAGTTGTAAATTTCAATAAATATATTATAAAAAACTAGTTGGCCCGTGTCAGAAAATTTTTTTTAGTGAAGAAATAGCAAAACAATATGGAAATAAATAGTTCCTATATATTATGTAAGGAAGGAAATTAATATATTTTTCAGGGTCGATTAAAATATTCCATTAAACATAATAGAAATAATAGGAGATATTTTTAAACGCTGACTGTAAGATACCACGATCATGGAATATTCTAAATTATTAAAAAAATATATATATATAAGAACAACCAAATGTCTTTAAGAAATAATAAAGTTAATATATCAGCCAGGAAAAAAATGTAGTAGACTATTCTATTCCTAAATGTAATATCTTTAAATCGGAAGACATTATTAAGTATACCAAAACTATTGGACTGTATCTTTTTTAATAATTGTCCAATTTTTACGAATTGTTTTTGTTTATAGGCAATTTAGTAATCTTTCTAATTATCATGGGTACAATCAAGAAAAAATTCATACTTTTTGAGTAATTCGCAAATAAAGTTTCTTTTCCTCCATAACGTTTTTACAAAAATTTCAGGAGGATGGGACTTTTTTTCGCATGTCAAGGAGAAGAATATCTTAAAAATGAGTGGTCAATCATTGGATTTGATGAAGAATTGACTAAGTTATGGCGTACCGACAAAAAAAAAAAACACGTTTTAGAAATAATATATAGGATTGAATTACTGTTGATACTGTTTTTTTTATAACGGTTTTTTTCCTTTGACTTTATTATTGTTTTTAATAAAATAGATTCATTATTAAATGGCTCTTATTATAATACCATTTGACATTTTTTAATTTTGTCGACTATTAAAAATCTAATAAGGTAGTTGACAAATGAATTTCCCTCTCTAATGCAAACTGTTTTAGCATGTGAATCAGTGTTGAAGTGGATTCAAGCTTTGAGAGGGCCTGGGTTGAGAGGGGTAGTAAACAACCTAAGTGCATCCCCTGATAAGAGAGACCCTGAATTTCTGTATGCTAGTTTCGTTGGCAGGGTCTTATCTCAAGTGTAACTTCACCATCGTTTATAAAGCAGGAAATGATAGGTTCCTATCATTCTGAAAAACATTTATTCATACCCAATAATAAAAAGAGTAGAAAAAAAAACAACTTCAGAGATTTTTTTTATCTCTTCCCAATACTTTTGGGTTGGCGAATAAGTACTTTTCGGTTTTTCTGTTCATTTTTATGTCACTATAATACACTTTTTATCTGATGAATAAACCCCAAAGGTGGATTGTTTATCCTGTTGTAATATGTCAACAACTATATCTGTTAACTCTTGTTGAAAATAACTTAGTATTGTGTTTGCTATTGCACTGTGAATATGGAAGAAAATATTATTCATTATTCGCCATATTTTGTTGTATTATTTTAAAAAAGGCAAGCGTGCTGCAGAAGCTCGTAGAAAAATTTGCAACGTTTATGGGGATGATTCCTTAACCGAACGCAACTGTCGAAATTGGTTTGACAAATTTAATTCAGGAAATTTTGACATCAATGATGCTTAACAGTCTGGTCGCCCACATGAAATTGAAACATGCAATGTTGAGGTCATTTTTAATCAAAATCCCACCCAATCAGTGCTAGGAATTGCTATGGCTCTAAATGTGTCGCACACAAGCGTAGAAAACAATTTGCGCAAGCTAGGCTATGTTTCCAGGCTTAATGTTTGGGTCCCTCACATGATTTTGTTTCCTAAAATCACAAAAAAAAATTATAACTTCAATACAACTTTAGCAGAAAATTTCAATCTACAAGAAATCTAGCAGGAATTAAGGGCCAAACTACACAAAATGATGTTCTATGAACATGGCATTATACAGTTGGTGGAAAGATGGGAAAAAGTCATATTAAATAATGATCAATATATTGTAGATTAAAATAAATTTTATTTTTATAATACATTGACTTTTATTTCATCCCGAAAGAAGTTATTTGCCAACCCAATAAATACTATATTTTTTACTTTGGTCCAACATAAATATCTTGTGATGAGTTTTTTTTTTTTTTTGTCACATTATGTATATCTCGATCCTTTCCTTTTGAATTCTAAGATAATTTTTTTTCTCACAAAAACGAGAAAAAAATTATTTACGGAAATTTCGGCCGTTTGGCCTATGTGACCTCTTTATTTTGACAATCTGGGGGTGGATGTTACGTCCAACGGACCATCATTCAGGTAACTTTTTCTCGATTTAGTGATCAAATTATCAGAAGATTCAAATGGAAAGAAAATGGGTGTTCATAAGTTTTCAATACCTTATGAAATTTACAAAATTTACTGATTCCCAGATTGAAAGCGCTGCCATTTTCGTTAGCAAAAGTTATAGGTTACAATAAAATGAATTAATTTACCAAGTTTTATTCGAGTGATAATAATTTGTTAAAATGGATTCTGTTTCGCGGACAATATATAGATAAATGTAATGGACTCCAGAGAGAACTGATGTTCACAAGGTAGAGATATCAGAGAGTATCTTGATAGATAGGTATCTATCCCAAGACAAGGATAAATGATACAGTTCGTCCACTATCAAGACTTGAATGAGATTGTTCTGAAGCTCACAGCTGTTAGCAAGTCCATTCAGTATCGACGTACTGATATTATCTGGACGCATATGAGTTATGTTCTATTAATGTAAATGGGCTATATCAGAAGGTTGCGTGTCAGATAAATGGAGATAGAGATTATCTATAACATCTTAGAAGCTCTCTCAATTAATTAAATATAATGAAACCGCATTTTATTTTTAAATAGTTTGTGAAATTATATATTTCAGTTTTTTAAAAGATTGGTTTCAGCATAGGTAAAATATCTCCTGATCTATAATTTCTCTATTGATCTCACTATTTAATACCTAGATGGCATAGCTTGTTGGGCTAAAAGGTGGGGAATAAAAATTAACGTGTCTAAGAGCCAATTTGTTTCATTTACACTTAAACATGACTCTTGTCCTCCAGTTCTCTTTCATAATATCGCTCTACCACCTTCAAAAACTGAACGGTATTTGGGTCTCCACTTGGACAAACGACTGACATGGACATACCACATAAAACAAAAAAGAAAAGAACTTAATCAGCGATACGGACTTCTTACCAGGCTACCTGACAGACGTTCTAAATTATCTGTGACTAACAAATTAACTATTTACAAAGTCATCATTAACCACTTTGGACATATGGGATCGAACTATGGGGAACAACAAAGAAATCAAATATAAAAATCATTCAGTCATTCCAGTCAAAAGTCCTTCGGAAAATTGTAGAAGCACCCTTTTATGTTTCAAACCTCACGTTACACATGGACCTTAACACTCCTTTCATCACGGTATCTGCTACTGACAGCTTTAATAATTTTAATGACAGTTGTGTGTAGTGGACTCTAAATTCCAATCCACTTACTCAAGCTCTATCTACTGCCACAAATCCATATAATCCGCCCAGGAGACTGCTGAGGCGCTGGCCAAGAGACTTATTTCATTGAGCTACTTACTGCATTACCTGTTTTTTTTGAGTTATTATGTGTTATTTTACTACTGTAGTTTTTTTTTTTTGTCTTTTTGTTTTGTTATTACTATCATTTTTTTATGCTATCATTTCTTCTCCTTGATATCATATTTGCTGAATACTGAGAGGTAGATGGCAAATTTATTGTGAGCTAGGAATATGTATAACTAATAAATAAAAAATAAAAAATAGAATATCATCTTATTCTGTTGCTTGTTTTAATGATTGACGGTATTAGCTTCTAATTGAATGTAAATGGATTCAGAATGGATTTTTTTTTCCTGTTTTTTCTCCGATGCAAATAGTATCAAAATTAAAAGAGGTAATTAGAAATAATAAAAAAATATAGTAAACGAAATAACACTTTTCAAGTAGAAACAACTACTTACGTTATAAAAAAATAATATTAATGTTGTTTATTTTATTTACAAATATATTTATGTTATATAATTATGGACTTGGGTTGCAGGCGATGGCGAACGATACCCTTCCAGACGACCTCGACTTGGACTATCCGAGCCTGGAGGTGGTCGAGCGACCGATCCAGTACGCCCTTGTTACGATATTCTCGTTGACGGCGGCGCTGTCCCTCACGGGGAACATCACCGTCATATTGGTCCTCTCCTTGGGCCACAGGTACTCCACTCCTTCACTCAACTGCTTCATTCAAAACTTTCCTTCATTAATTCAAGCCCATTGATACATTGATCCATTCATGTGCCCACGCTGATTGACTCAACTCCCACAGAGAAGGATTAAGGCCGATGAGGATTGATTTCGAAGCATTACGTAGTTCTATTAACCAGAGTAGGGAATTAGTCTGTAGGAAATTTATTCGAATAAAATTTATTTTTCAGTACGACACAGAACAATAAAGTATGCTTATATAATGAAATTTAAAAGATAAAAAATAGGATTTCTTGTGGTATTTTAAAAAAATGAGACCATTATTAATTATTTATCAATATTTCATAATATCCAATTGAGGAAGAAAATTCTAAAACTTATTTGTACGAAACTCGTACGGGAATAACGCCTAGTGTTGCCCAAATGCGAGACCGAGCCGAGTCATGGTCTTGCAAACTCGGTCTTGGTCTTGCGCAAGAGTCTCGCAGTTAATTATTAAAACTCGTAAATACCCATTTGGTTTCCACTTGGATAGGAAGATAATTTCATCAAGAAATAGAAAAAAAAAAGGTGGCCTACAAAAATATTAGACCGTTGTATGCCGAGTTCTAATGTGAGGAAAAGTATTTGAAACCTTTTAAGTACGAACTGAATTGCGGCATTCAAAGTAGTGTAGCCCAAATGCGAAACGAAGACTAGTCTTGGTCTTGCACGAGAGTCTCGCAGTTACTTATTAGCTTATTACTATAGAGATATTACTGTAATTTTTTAGATAGGAGAAACCTAAGCCCAAAAGAATTATTAGTTATAGGAATTATTAACATCTAGTAACTAAGATTGCCAAGTACTAGTAACTATTTTGCCTCAATTTGTATTGAAAAAATCTATTTTTTTACTAGTCCTGGTCTTGGTCTTGCAAAAGTTCGGCGGCTTTGGTCTTGGATTTGGTCAAGACCAAGATCGATTTTGGGCAACACTAGAAATCAGATCCGACGATGTTAATCTCTTAATATTTTAAAATATTTAGAAGGTTTGGGTAAAGATTCTATCCATATATAATTTTAAAAAAGTAGTTATCATTGCTGTGTTATCTTGGATATGGATTTTTAATAAGTAAGGACCGAAGAGAGGTTTTTAAAGGTTTGTCTTGCCCTCATATATCACTTACATTGTGCGCTGGAGTCGGTAAACATTTCACACTAATTGCATTAGATCTTATAATCCTTGTAGAATAAGGTATTCATTCTCTATATCTATAAGAGAAATCCAGTTGTATATGCAAATGAAACTAAGTAACTGAGATTGCCAAGTATTAGTGACTATTTTGTCTTAGTTTTTATTAAAATAATCGATTTTTTTACCAGTCCTGATCTTGCAAAGTGCGTTTCGGTGCACAAGTTCGGTGCGCAAGTTGCGCCATCGAAATGTTTGACGGGAGCACATTTTGACGGGTTTTTGAATTGAGGGGGGCAGATTTCGACGGGGTTATGAATTTTGAGATTGAAAAGTTTCAAACCAGTGGACAAGAGAAAATACTAGTACAGACAACTGAAAAGTTTAATTGTATAAGACCTACGGATTTTTAAAATTTTACCATAGCTTGCACTATTTTTAAGAAGAGAAGGGAAATAAAATATCTTAGGAGGAGGAGTGGGGGAGGGGATCATGCGCCATCGACCTTGGGGAGATGGGCACCCCTCATCAAGAAGAATTATAATTTTCCCGACCTAGATAAATACCATAATACCATTTGTGAATGACTGTTATCTCTCTCGTGTGCAAAAACAAATTAATGCTGCCCCGAATAAATATTTATGTTTACTTTCTGATATCGGGTGGTTCGACTAAATAGATCAAGTTTAAATCAAACCATCAGTTCAAGCCATTTACTAATTATCTCCTATCCCACATGCTAAATTTTGACATTGATAACTAATTGCGATAATTATGTATTATATCATTATACATTAATTTTCAAAAAGATGATATTTTTGGCTGTACGCCCATATCTTTGTTAATTATTCATCAAATCCAATGATTGAGGAATAATTTTAAAGATTGCATTCTCCTTCAGGTGGTAAAAATAGGTACATCCCTCCTTTCCCGGGTTACAGACTCCTTTTTATCAAATTATTAACATTAATCGAAAGCTTGGTAAATGGCACTATGTTACCGTGACCTACAACTTTTTTATTTATGAAAATCCTCAGAAATTGGTCGTTTTAAATCTAGAGATCGATTAACTTAGTCTATTTATTGAAGTATTAAATAGTTACTATTTATTGGTTCTATCCCACTCCCTAACGCCAATTCCTTCTTGATATTTTCTTTTTCAAAGTACCGAGTACCAAAAATCCTTCCTACATCTTATAAATCCTTAGTCTATGTTTCTCTATCCACTCTCTTAATACCAGATTATGACCTATAGATCTATATATCATCTACCATAAAACCATTTCCTTTAGCAAATCCTTCTTCATTCGTGCTACTCCTTATCTATTTTCATACGTCCAACCAAGTCCGCAAATCCCTTTAAACAATTCCACATCCACCCACAACACATCCAAACTTCAGCAAGCTTGTAAGAATTTTTAGGTTAAGTAATCCAATCACCTCATTAGTTCCCTTTGATTCTCTCCTTTACTTTACCTCAATAACCGTCCCATCCATTTCCTTCCGACAGTTAAAAACCTTCGAGTGATCTTTGATCAGAACCTCTCTTGGAACAACCACATTTTCCAGATTACCCGTAAATCTATAACTATCCTTAAACAATTCCTTTGATTCCGTGACTCCATTCCAAAAAAAAATCAGACAGCTTCTTGTAACATCTCTTGTCTTCCCCCACTTCGACTACGGTTGCCTGGTGTACGGAGGGCTGTTCACAGAACTCGAAGCGATACTGAAGAAACTGATGAATTGCTTCATAAGATTCATATTTGGGATTCTCAAGCTTTCTCATATTTCTTGTTGGTACACCGAGTTGAAGTGGCTATATCCCACTTCCCGAAGGCAATTCCTTCTTGGGGTTTTCCTTTTCCAAGCCCTCAGAACCAAAAATCCTCCCTACATCCTAGAACTCCTTACTCTACGTTCCTCTATCCATTCTCATAATAACAGATCTCAGCCTATATATCTATATATCATCTGCCATAAAACCACTTCCTTCAGCAAATACTTCATTCATTTGTGCTACCTCCTTTTGGAACTCCTAACCTATTTCCATACGTCAAACCACGTCCACAAATTCCTTTAAACAACTCCTATTCCTCCCCCTACAACACATTCAAACTTCAGCAAGTTTGTAAGAATTTTTAAGTAAAGTAATTAAAATTAATCACCAACATTTAATTCATAAGACCCATTTTATTTTTTTATATATATTTTTTGAACTCTGCTGTTAGTCTATGGGGACTCCCAGAATAAAATTATTTTTCATTTCATATTAAAAATTCATGAACATCTACCTGCTTGAATTATAAGATAATTTGATTAAAAAAAATCGAGAAAAAAGGTAGTGTTATAAAAATATTTGGGCCATTTGAATGAATATTTGGTCTCCAATCCCAACATGTCAAAATAACGAGGTTATAGAGGCTAAGCGATTCCATATTTTTGTAGGCCACTATTTTTCTCGATTTGGATATCAAATGATCTTACGATTCAAGTGGAAAGCATATGAGTATTTATGAGTTTTTAGTAACTCATTAAATTAATGAGAGTAAAGTTGTTCAACGAATTTTTAGACGGGTGTTAATAATTTGATATAACGGTATATGTATAGCGGACTTGAGTGTTAACCTTCCACGAATTCTACAAGTTTTTCCTTTCAACTATCCAACGGCGCTAGATTCAATCCATCGACGGTTTCCATCAATGGAACTATCGATGGGTTTAGGAACTGGCTCACTATCAAAGAAAGATCGCGTTATAAATCTGCTTTCTCAAGTCACAAGAGACTGGAGAATATTGCTTTTGATGTTGAGCACTGCACGCGCTTGCCTCTATTCAAATTCCATTTAAATTTAATCTTCGTTAGAGGCATTTTAATTTATATTGTAATTGTTCTACGTGCGACCCTTACACGCCTGTTTTAACCAAGGGATGTATGGAATGCTAATCACGATTATCATATATATAGCGTGGAGGAGCACCAGGCAAAACCATTAAATGACCCTTGTGCTTCAGGCTGGAATAATTCAAAACGACATCTGTAGTTCCTTGGTCCATTTTTCCCACTGGGATCGTAATAACAGTTACTCAGGGGTTCATAGTTATGAACCGGGAACGAACAGTTACGTACCAATGAATATGTGAAACAAGTTCATAATTTTACTTTCATATTCCAGCATTTTTAAGAAAATGTATAAAGGGTTTATTTTAGTAGAAATTAATTTATTAGGTTCCCAGCTGTGTAAAAAGACGATTTAATCTGTAAATAAAAAAATCTTGATAATGTGGTGTACCATTCTAGAGATTTAAAAAAAAAGTTTGCTTAAAAAAAGACCTTAATAAAAATTAAAAATCAGGACTTGAAGCAGAAAAAAAAAACATTTATTTAAAAAGGGTTCGGTATCATCGGAATTTTTATTTCCGATCGTTTTCAATTCTTTTAGAATTAGAACTTTTTTCCTTGCAACTTTACAAGGACTTTTATCTTTAAAAAACTTATATTTAGAAGTTCTTTCGATTTCGCTAAACAATTAGATCTAAAAAAATACCGTTTTTCATAGCTACTCAAACAAACGACACGTTAGAATAATGTGTAATTCATGTAAGACAAATTGTAAATCTAATTACGGTTTATTTTTCATTTAACGGAACTTTTTTCAAGAGTTTGAGTAAAAGTTAAAATTTTACCATAAGCATGGAATTTTATTACAAAAAGGTTCCTTAGAACTTTTATTTTAAAAACTGTTTTCCAAATCCTTTTTAAAAAAGTTTCGACTCCTTGTAAAAATGAAATTTATATTTTTATAATCACAAATAAAATCATTCATAACGACCTTAACGTACCACATGTTTCCAATTTAGCCCAATCCAGATACCTATCCTTCCATAAAAAACTTCAAA